AGTTAACCTGTCATTTTCCATTAGATAACTGCAAGCAGTTTATGGAAAAATTACATAGGGGTCTATTCACGAAGCTGCCGAAGGATCTAGCCGTAGCTTCGGCCGATCATTCACTATAGCCCGTACAGCTCCCGAACGTGGCCGAGGGGCTCAGTCGAGTCGAACGCATTGGCCGGCTGACAGCCTGCTTCTGTCAGCTGGGCGGAGCCCTGGCTCCGGCCACTTGCAGAGAGATCAGCATCCATGGTTACCCACTAACCAGAGACACTGATCTCCAAACAGCAAACTCTCCCTGGCGCTCCGGGAGTCACCTGCTCCCGGGCGCAAAGGAGAGGAACACTGCTGTTCCTTTTTTTTTTATTCTGACACGGAGCCGTGTCATTATAGAAAAAAAATAAAAATAAAATGTTTGCCCATTGGAATGCATTGCTAGATTCCTATTGGCTATTTCAATTTGCATTAGCCAATAGTAAACTAGCGTTGTGCCCGCCCTCTGCTGCAGTTCTCCATCAGGTCCATCAGCAGAGGGCGGGTACAATGCTAGTTTACTATTGGCTATTGCAAATTGAAATAGCCAATAGGAATCTAGCAATGCATTCCAATTGGCAATTATTATTATTTTTTTTTCTATTCTGACACGGCTCCGTGTCAGAATAAAGAAAAAAACAAGAAAAAGCAGTGTTTGTCTCCTGGCGGCCGGGAGCGAGAAGCTCCCAGAGCGCCCGAGAGAGGTTTTTTTTCTTTTTTTTTACGGCAGCAGACCCGACGGACAATAGAAAACTGTTGGGCGGAGCTAGCTGTCACTCCTAGCTCCGCCCAATCGTTTTCTATTTACTTTTTTAAAACTTTAAAACTATTTTTCTGTTCTGCTCGGTCCCTCTGAGGGACCGCGCAGAACAGCCGAGCCGAATGCCGCTTAGCGGCATTCGGCTATTCACTCACTGCTGTTCGGCATCTATGAGAATAGACCGAATGCCGCTTAGCGGCATTCGGCTATTCACTCACTGCTGTTCGGCATCTATAAGAATAGACCGAACAGCAGTGAGTAGCCTGCCGTAGGTTTCGGCTCAGCTGATCCAGATGTTAGATCGGCTGAGTCAAACTCCTTCTGCACTCCATGCGAAGCAAGCCGATATACGGCTGAAATCAGCCGTACCAGCCTGAAGTGAATAGCCGAACAGTGAGTGTTCGGCTCACTTCAGGTCGGTCATTCAATCGGCTGCCTACGGCAGCTTTGTGAATAGACCCCATAGTGAAGTGAATATGATGTAAGTGAAAGCCACTACACATTCTGGACCTCATGTATATAAAGAAAATAAAAAGAAACTGGGGTTGTTTTACTAAAAGAATAGAGCATGTTCACTTCGTGTTGTGTATGCTCACGTTGCAAACTGACTGTTCAAGTAGCTTAGTACAACAGGTGAAGCTGTATTTATTTCAATTATCAAATTATGTGCTAGTGAAAGTCCCTTTTTTTAAATTCCCCTCGCATATGATTGGGTATGTAAAATAAACACAGATTTACCTTGTTCAGCAAGCTAAATCAACATACAGTTTGCAAAGGGAACATTAATTTGGCTGAGAAAACAGACTTCACTACTAGTAAATCAACCCCAAGGTGTTGTACACTGCAACCAATTAGCTTCCAACCATAATTTTCCTAGTACATATTAGAATTGGAAGATTGTTGTTGCAATGAGCATCATGTTTGATTCTCCTTAGTAGCATTGCTTTTAAGCTTCCAGCTGTCTTTGATGGTACTGTTAAGAGATGTGGAGCTAAGAAGTATGTGTTTTGAATTGTGGGTTTCACAGAATTTGGGCAAATTTGCCTCCAGGACTACTTTAGAGTTTCTCCCATCCTCTGGACCTCCCTAACCCAATGGCCTACTCTGTCCACCTGTGGGCAATCCTTGACAACTCTTCAGTTCAGGGAAGCCTATCCCACTTCTACCTTACAACCTAAACTTTACCTTCTCCATCAACTCTGCCGTGCGGGCCGCCTGGGTCACAATGGCATATCAGGATGCTGGCTGTCAAGAGGAATGCGCTGCTGTTAAATCACTGACAATCTGTCAGTGTTGTGTGCAGCGGCTCGTTCTTCCTCACATCCGCTGCTGAGCTGTGTCAGTGAAAGCCAGCAGCTGCTGCAGAAGAGACTGGACCCGGCGTTTGCAGTGAAGGAGGAGGCGGGGCCCGGCCAGTGATGTAAGAGGAGGCGGGGCCCATCAATAGATGAGAAGACAGGGCCCGACGATGAAAGAGGAGGCGGGGCCCGGCGACCACGGAGGCGGACCGCGCTGACAGGTAAGATGTGTGCAGCCCACCTGAGACCCTGCAGAGCCCGCCATTGAGTGTCTCCCTTGCACCTCCCTTGTACATTGTAAGCTTTCATGATCAGGACCCTCCTAATCCTTGTGTCTTGCATTGTATTGTAACTGTACTGTCTCCCATTATGTTGTAAAGGGCTGTGCAAACGGTTGGTGCTATATAAATCATTCATTTTTATTTATTATGTAATAATAAATAAAGCAGAGCTTTACAGTATCCCACATTTGCATTAGAAATAATAAAAAAGAGTACATATAGCTGCAGTGAATATGAAATAGACTAACTATTTCAAAATACTAGCTTACTTGCTTCATGTATGGGAATTATGTTGAGTGCTTTTTGACCTTATACACATATTTTGTATGTGTTTTTCTCCACCAAGGTCCCTTTGTATATAAACTCACTGGCCACTTTATTAGGTAAACCTAGCTTGTACTGAGTTGGAACCCCTTTTGTCTTCAAAACTGCATTAATTCTTCATGGCATAGATTCAACAAGATGATGGGAACATTCCTTAGAGAGTTTGGTCCATATTGACATGATGGCATCACCCTATTACTGCAGGTTTGTCGGCTGCACATCCATCATGCATCTCTCCCCTTCCACCACATCCCAAAGGTGCTCCGTTGGATTGAGATCTGGTGACTGTGGAGGCCATTTGAATTCATGTGAACTCATTATCATGTTCAGGAAACCAGTTTGAGTTGGTTTTAGCTCTGTGACATAGCAGGCTATCCTGCTGTATGTAGCCATAAGAAGATGGGCACACTGTGGTCATAAAGAGATGGACATGGTCAGCAACAATACTCAGGTAGGCTGTGGTATTTAAACAAAGCTCATTTGGTACTAAGGGGCTTAAAGGGTGTCAAGATAGTTGGATCCATGCTTTTTTGTCCAATTTTGGTGAGCCCTTGCAAATTGTAGCCTCAGTTTCCTTTTCTTTGCTGACAGGAGTGGCACCTGGTGTGATCTTCTGTTGTATTCCATCTGTTTAAAGTTCGACGTGTTGTGCATTCGGAGATACGCTGAGTGGTAATTTGAGTTATTGTTGCATTTCTGACCATTCTCTTTAAACCCTAGACATGGTTGTGAGTTATAATCACAATTGATCAGCAGTTTCTGAAATGCTCAGATCAGCACGTCTGCTACCAATGACCATGCCACGTTCAAAGCCACTTAAATCATCTTTCCTCCCCATTCTGATACTCTGTTTGCCATGTGATAGGTTGATTAGATTTTTGTGTTAACGAGCAGTTGAATACCTAATAAAGTGGTCAGTGGGTGTATAATGTAACATGGACACTGTCATGTCTGTAATGACACATGCAGGCATCAGCATGGAATCATCATAGCCACAACTAAATCAAGCAAATAAATAGTTAGACCTGTGTGTGAAAAATATGAATTGTACCTCCCTGCTTTTTCGTGTGTTATAGAAAAGAACCTGTTTGCAACAGAGCTCTTACCTTTATCTGGTAAGAATGCCAGTTCAGATCTTATCCTGCATGCCTCTATATCAGTGGTTCTCAACCTTTCTAGGGCCGGGACCTCTTGGTAACATTTGCCAAGCTGTGATGACCCCCAGCTGGACTCCAGAATTATTAAAACTGGACTTGGGACTAAAAATAGAAGCACACTCACAAGAACACAAACCCTCCCCAGCCCCTGCTTGCCTGCTCTGTCTCCATGCAGCCTTCTCAGCCACAGCACTGCTTAGACGCCCGCCTCCTGCAGAGCTCACATTGTATGGGAGGCAGGAGGACAGCAGCGGCTGTGAATAGAAAAACCCTGCTGTACACACTCCCCGGCCACTAGATGTCACTGCAGCGGCCAGGGAGTGTGTATAGCGGCACTTTTATATTCACAGCCTCTGCTGTCCTCCCGCTGACTGACACTGACACTGCTGCGCTAGGAGGAGGCTGAGGAGCCTCTCACCTAGTGCAGCAGTAGTGGATGCTGCGACCCCCTCAACAGTGAGTTGCGACCCACTTTTGGGTCGCAACCCACAGGTTGAGAACCGCTGCTCTATATGCTATAATACATATTTCTGTGCCCATCCCAACACATTGGAGGACAGGCTCAACAGAGCCAAAGCTAGCTCCTTTTGCCTCCGAGGCAAGAACAGACATTTGTGCCCCCCATCAAGTAATCAAGTAAGTAAAAAAGGTTTTACCTATCCCCTAGGGATAAACAAGCACTTAACTCTTACAATGTGGGATCGTTTTTTGGTTTGCCCAGAGATTCAAAATGAAATCTAAAGGAGAAATCTGCTTTAGAAATCAGAGATTAATTTCATGACACTGCTCATATTTAAAATGACTGTGTCCACGCACAGTTAAGTAGTGCATTGTGACATTAACTCAGACTCTAAACTACTTACTGGACAGATGCTACTTTATCATATGAGTGCATTCTGACGGTTCAAAGTGATCTTTTCTATAAGGTAGTTTTTCCGCAAACTATGAGGACAATTTTTAAGAGCGGTGGTCTTTATATAGTTATGATAAAGTTAATGTTATCAGAAATGTTAAAAATCAATAGGTATTGATTTTGTTATACTTTTTTTTCTTGCATATTTAAAAACATGTCATTAGCCCAGTGCATACAGGTGGCGCTATACCATTATATATTGCTGTGGCTAATGCATTATACTATGGCATAAATACTCACTTTGGGTGCAGGTGCTAGTTCTAAATCAGATGCTTGCTCAGTCGCCGCTACATTACTCCTATTTCTGACTGGGTCACCTTGTGATCTACCATCTGCTGACCTGAAAAAACAGTTGTGGAAACATTTTAACATTGCACCAAGGGGAGCCATACACATTAATTGAGTATAAACACATTTATTTAGGTTTATTTTAATATACAATATTTCAGATTTCATGTCATTTTCAATTCTCAGACTCACAGAAAGACTCAAAGAAAACAAATATGTCACAATGGTGACATCAACCAACTGGATACCATTGTTTATAGTGCTAATTAGAGAATGAAAGCAAGCATCTGATTGGTTTCCATTATAATTCAGCTTTTGTACAAAGACTTTCTAATTGCCATTGTAATAAAGATTTTGAAACAAGAGGACAACTTTTTAAAATATGCCGTCTTTTTTTACAAAATGTTCCTTAAAGTGCAGTTTAAATCTGCAGCCTATCCTTTAAAGACATGCTTTTTCTATTAGAGAACAGAAAGAATTACCATAAGAGCTCTTTAGACGATTCCTTAGATGATGATTTTCTATCCAAGCCCCCATGACCCTCGCTGCTTTTATCTCCTCGAAAACACCCATCGCCCCATTTCTCCAGCTGCATCTGTATGTGGACTAAAAGTAAGCAAGAGATCTTCACACAAAAGACAAATAAAGAATATTTGCTTTTATTTTTTACACCATTTAAAACCGCTATCAACATGTTTTGTTAATTGCTTAAAAATAATAACAAGCATTACAAACGACATACACAGGTTAACCAGGAACATTTCATTGTTCTTCACTGGTATTTGTTAAACCCAAATGTGTGCTATACAAAGTACATTTATTTTATTATTGTCAAACATGTTTATACAACTGCAAGTGTTTTTATGGGCTATATGATGGATTATATGATATCACATGTGGATTATTTGATATGCAGCATCCTTAAAGGCACACTACATTCAGGAGATTACTCTTAAAAATGCATTCAAGTATCTTACCTATTAACGAAAATGTATTTTATTTGTGTATCACTGAGCTGTAGATCCTCAAATAATCTCTGAATTGGTGCTCACAGTGTCCTTCCTTCTGGAGGGTGGCTACTTTTGTTCCCCATGGTCCCTGTGTGTGTTGTAAAGTAGCCACCTCTCCAAGATCGCTCCCGTGATGGACTACAATTAGTAAACTAAACATGAGATTGTAATCCCTCACAGGAGTGAGCTTGGAGCCACCCTCCAGAAGGAAGAACAGTGTCACCATGAATTCAGAGATCTGATAATCTACAGCTAAGTGATACACAGATAAGATATATTTTTTGTTAATCAGATGCAGGGGCTGTTTGGATATTCAGCACCAAAAGAAGTTGCTGAATACAATAGCCAGAAGTGGGATTCCCCCAAATTCAAAACATGTATGGCCACAAAACATGGCACTTTTCACACTTGTGAGAGATGCTATGTTATAGATTTGAATGGTGGGAAAGCTTTGCGGCCCAATGGTATGGTATGCATGCTCCCTACTCCCCCCCCCCCTTGCAACCCGGACTGCAAGCTTGAATAAGGGTCTGGTTTGAATTGTAATGGGAACCCCACACCATTTTGTTTTCTTTTTCTGTTTTGCACTTTCTATTGTATTGATGATGGTCACCAGGACAAATATAAAGGGTGAATCTCCCCACATTGGACAAAAACAACAGCCAAAACCTGACAGAGGTTGCATCTCTTCCCCACTATATTGAAAACAAAAAAACGAAATATTTTCGCTAGGAATATACAATAATGTTTTGCTAGTGGTATATATACAGATAATCTCACCATTGTGCAACAATATTAAAAAGTAAAAAGTTCTTATAAACTGAAAGGGATACTTTTATCTTGGCCTTTATACCTTTCCTCACACTATGTAAGTACACATATGAGGACTCACAGTTCAGGTAAATCTCAGTTGTTGCAATAACTACATAAAAGTAACTTTGGGGAAGCATAACTTTTTATTTTCTCTACTTCTTCTTTATGTAAACATACTGTATAAATAAATGGAAATTACATTGAGCTACAACTAGTAATGTAAACAATCTAAATGGAATGTAGAACTATAAAGTATCCAATACGGTATACTGCGGCGTCTCAGTATAGAGCTGGAGCTCGCGGTATACTGAGCCTAGGGTGACGGGAGGAAGCTAGTTTGTGTCCTTCCGTTACCCTAAGGAAAACTATGGGGAAAAGCCTTAACCCCATAGTTCTCCTTTAAGGGCCTGTGTTGATGGACTTTTGTTGATGACAGTTTCAGACGCTTCTGATATCATTCAGAATTAATTGATAGTTACATTTGACCTGCAGTTAACCTCCTTCTTACCTGCATTTGACTTGCTTCAAGCGTGTTTTGCAATTTCGTAGACTTTTATGGAAAACTAAAACCCACTTGAAGCTAACAAATGCCCATTGCAGTCCCTAAATCTGTCAGCAGTATTTTAAAATAAACCTGTCAGCAGGAATATAAAATACAACTATCAGTACCATAGGGGTTCTAAACTGTCAGCAGTACTTTAAAATACAACTGACAGTAATATAAGAATCACTGCAGTGCTTTAGGCTATGTCCACACCATGTCTGGACCAAATCTGGAGCAGATCTACAAATGCAGTGCAGTGCATTGTTTGCAGATTTTTGCCACGATTTTACCATGTTATGAAGTGTTTTTTTTAGCTTAAAATGGGTTTTCAGGTGCGGTCCAATGTGTTTGCATGCGTTTGTATGTGTTTTTGATGCGTTTTTTTCTGGTCCAGGATGGACTGCGTGAACAGAGCACAGAAAGAGCATAGGGATACATTATGATGCTTTTTTGGTCCAGGAACAAACTGTTCTGGTCTTGACATGATCCGGACATGGTGTGAACAAGCCCTGAACGTACAGTTGCCTCTGATGAAATTAAAGGAAATCAGATCAAACATATAGATATTGCAAGGCAAAACAAAGATCGATTTACAAACATAAACAAAACAGGTTTTGAACATGCAAAGTACAATAATCAAGAACAAACAAACAGAAAACAATTTCTGGCTAAAGGAAGCTAATCTGTTAGTCAATATGAAAGGATAATTCAGCATTTAAAAAAATATTCCAGTGAGTCTACATACTCTGGCATTCATCCCGAGCTTTATAATTGTGACAAATGGAATGTCAATACACCTTCAAATTACAAAATCATGTGCACTGAGACCTATCCATTTACATTTAGCGAGCTATGCTTGGAGATATACAGCTTTAATGCAGTCTGATCATATTCTGACACTGCTGGACCCTTAGTTATCTTTATGCTTACATATCACATGGTATCTATGCATTCACAGCATATATAAAACGATGAGTTTTGTGTCTATAGACAACATAAACTAAATTGTGAAATGGTATTACTAATTCTTGTTCTGTTTGAGCTAGATGTATTTTGATACAAGATTTGGAATCATTTGGAAATGGGCAAAAATCTTTTTTGTTTGTTTTGGATAGCATGAGTAATGTTTTTTCTAACCATTGTGTTGTTTGATTTTAGTTCTAGTGCTTCATATTATATGTGGGGTATAGACCTGCTCCATACATATAGCTGTAATCTTATTTTTGTATTCATATTCCTTGCTTGAGTGAATTGGTTTTATTTGTTTTTGTATTACATCACTTCATGTATGTCTAAATATTCATTTAAGTGTTGGATGGGGCATGATATGGATAAAACATTTGACAATTTCTTTTACTGTCCTAATTGTTTCAATTCCATTGGAAAGATTTTCCTTCACTTCCTCTTTAGACTCGAGACACAACAGGAAATAGGACTTCTCTCCAAAGTAAGGGACATTTTCTCTTAGTTGTCACTGTAACAAGCATCCCTATAAGATTACCCTTTTCCAAATTATTGAAGGATTATTTCTTCTCCAGTGACAACTCCCTCATTTTAAGTCCGAATGACAATGATCATCAAGACAAATGGAAAGAGAATGAATATCCTTAGACCACCAGAGCCCGAGGGATAAGTGGCTGCAGGGACCGGTCTAGCAATATTGCATATAACTGTTACCATGGGGTCATTGTAAAATAATTTTTAAGGTGTATAGTACCAGGCAATCTCTTCTGATCATTAAATTAAGAGTATGAGCTCCAAGAACTGCAGTGGTTGCAGTGGTTAGATTCTTTATTTCAGGTCAGGTATATCAGATCAAGGCAAACCATTACATACATAACTCCCAATAAGTTGCAAAAACATTGAAATAAAAATATAATAATAATAATAATAGAATAAGCACAAAAACTGATGGAATACCTAGGAATTGTTTACAAATAGATAGCAATGCAAACATTACCTAAATCCAAAGACGATTTTTCTGGAATTTTGACAGTTTTTGTGCTTCGCTCAGTTTCAGATTTGATGAGGTCTGTTTCATCCACCTTCTTTTTAATGGACTGTCCTTTGGACGATTCCCCTTTCAGAGCAGATTCTGACTTTTTCCCTTTACTCTGAGCTGGCGTAATTGGTTCACTTAGATCTAAAAGATCCAAGCCTGGTGATAACACTGTCAAAGATTGCAAAATAAATGAGAGCCTGAAACTCCCAATGATTATGTTAGTTATTGACTTAATACTCTTTAACAGTCAAAATAATTAAGCTGTAATCAAAATCTTTGGCAATGTAAAATGTACAAATGGAAGGTGCAGACAGGAATTTTTTTTGAACTTTTACATAATATACCTGCCTTGCATTTTTTGCCACATTCTTTTTTGTCCAACATTTACCAAAATCATGTTAAATAACAGAATATTTTTAAATAGGAACTCCATATGTTGATTCAGTGGCTTCAGTACTATCTAAGTTTCACAACTTAAGCAATATTCTCACCACTCTGTACACGCCAGGAAGTGTGTTCCACACTTATCCTTCACAAGTGTAGCTAACCGTGGTTGCTGTGATGCCTAGAAATTTCCAAAGAGCTCACCATCAATCACAGCATTAACAGTGCCTAACTTCTGAGCCAATCCCCTTGCCATTCAAAAGGCTGCAATCTACCTGGTTTCTTTCCTGCACGGATCCCCTCGGAGCCAGCTGAAACAATGTGACAGATGACCCTTCTCAGTCACTCATTCCTAGTCTCCTACACCTAGTCCCCCAATGAGGTTTAATTCCTTGTGCCATTCCTTGAGTGACATGCTGTTCTAAATACCTGTCAGTCACATAAACCTGTAAAAAAGACCTAACACTCCTTTATATTTACACACTAGATGGGGAACCATGCAGCTATCACCAGCTTAGGTCCCTGTGTTCAATAAAACGTACGCAGTCTTTACAAAGCATTGCTGTGTTTACTATTCAGCACCTATATTTGTAAGATAATGTTAAGTATTTTTAATGCAAAAAGTACACACACTGCTCAAATTTTGGTCAATTCTGTAGGAATCAGCCAAAATTCAAACTGTGTTTGGCCATCTTAAGACCCAGGGAGGGAGAGCCAGCAAAGATCTGCTGCATGCACATGTACAAGCAGTGAACATGCCCTCAGGAGAATAGAGCGAGCAGAGTGATGACTAATCAGAGTGCTGCTGCTCCTTCACTGTCTTATCAGCAGCCTGGGAGTATATTTATGGCAATGCTGTGCTGCTGCAGTGAAGGCTTAGGACCTGATTCTACTCTCTGGTAAGAGTATTTGGGTCACACGACGAATTAATAAAATCATTTGAAACATAACAAAGCCTCCTATATATAATTTGACAAAACATTCAATGTCTTTTATCTGTGATTCCAGAAAACAAATCCATCATCATATTACTCATGTCTACCACAAAGTTACATTGCAGCAATAAATGTGCAAATGTAGAATGTATTTTTAATTAATTTAACTGGTCATAAATGTGGTCATATATCACATAGCACAATATTAGCTGTTCCAGCACATGCCTAATCCATCTGGATTCTTGACAAATCCTGGCATCCAATGGTGCAGGAAATGAAACATGTAAACATAACACTTTCTTGCAGACACTGATTGCAGCTGGTCTTGGTCATTTGGGGCATTATGCTGTAGTAAATTCCAGTAAAATATTTGTGTGATTACATGCCACAGTTATTATTAATTCATGCAAGTTAAACAAATTCTCATCCATCTGTATTAGCAAAATCAAGCTTATTTGAATTTGTCATTACAAAGTATCTCTATTTACCAATCCCCTGGGACCAAAACAGATTTCCAGACTGCTGTACATGACTATTACTGTGATTACTGGACTATTACCGTGATCACTGTGCATGAAACTCAGTAAACCACATCCGAATGGCCTGATACTTGCTAAGTTTGATATAGCTATGAAGAAGGTAAATCCTAATCCATTAAAGGAAACCTCCAGGCTAAGCAGAATGCATTACTTACAACCAAAAACAAATGTACTAATAAACATGCCTTAACTGTATACATTTACGTGTTATACTTTGTTCATTAATAACATTCATGCGTAGACTAGGAATCCTCTGTCACACAAGCAGGTCATCATCACATTGTGTACCTGCAGAGAGGGATCAACACCCAGTCACCTAATCAACAGCAAGGGATTACATTACGCCATCCATTGCATGTACTCTAAATTCTTTAATTAGCAAGGAAATGCTGATAGGGAACAGTTACATTTAAACAGTGAAAATGACATGTCTCTCAGGGAGTCATTTAATCCAAATGTATAGTAAGGGTAGGATCTGAAGGGTTTCTACTTTCAATATTTCCAACAACGTCATTTCTATGTGGCCAATTAACAATGAAATGTGTATGCTTGTGGCAGTCTCTGCGACTATACTGATTACTGACTACTGACACCAACGTCCTCTTATCTAGAATTGTAATGGATGTTCCATTTTCAGAAACAGCACACAGGAACCAAATGTGGCACTATTACTAATACCAATACAAAATGTATACCTAAAAAAAGAAGTACACACATATAAATGTAAAGTAGATTTAAAGCAGGGCTCCAGCCAAAAATAAGATAAAAATGAAGAGCACATTAAAGGATTAAATAATAAATCCAGCCTCTTCTACAATATGCACCTTCAATCCAGAGACTCCCCCACAGTATTCATCTGCCACTAGATGTCTGATGGCCAGCCTTATTAAACCTATTTCCTCTAAACCCAGGTTGTCCTGGATCCACTCTAGCCTGTGACTGGACAGTGAAGGAGAAGCAGCACAGTGATGAGCTAATCTCTCTGTCACTCTGCCCTTCTTCCTATCAGCATGTTTCTTGTCAGCTCATGAACTTATTGACTCCTTGTTCTGCTATTTCCCCTTCCACTCCAGCTCACTATACAGGGACTACAAGAGGCTGATATCAGGTCAAATTCAGGTAATTACATTGCTTGAACTTAACGATGTAGTAATGATTACAAAGGGAAGAGATTTCAATCTGAACCAAAAGGCGAGAAAGGATTGCAGAGTGCACACACACAACACTCTCTGTGGCAGATGACATCAGTGCTGAGTTTCCTCAGGTATAAAAGAAAAAATGTCACCCAAAGCTTATTGAAACATGTTCACTGCAAGCAGAGAGGTATGTATATTGTGAGACTGCCATGAACGGATTACACCGGAGGCTGTGTCACAACTCAGGACCAGGAAAATGATCTGCAGTTAACTAACAAAGCACCAAAGGGTCTGGAAAGCATCATAATATATCCAATACCCAGTGGATGCATATTAGGTTAGCGTTTCCCCAATTTAGAAGTTTATTGAGAAGAGAGGTTTTAGAGACTGGGTTACTTCAGAGACTGTACCGCGGCTCTAGAGCGAGAAAGCAGTCTGCGGTTATTAATAGAGTACATTGTCATAAAGCAGAGTCTAATGCCTAAAGAATGCACTCTGATGTCCACTGCTCTGGACCTGGAAAGTGCCTTTGGCTAAGTGACACTAGGGCCTGAAAAGCAATGCAACGCAGAGTGTAATGTTCAAAGATGACCTACCAGGTTATCCACGCCACTATCAGTGCCTTTTTCACAAAGGGAGTCATCAGAGACTGGGCTAATTCAGTGTCTGTAGCACTGCTCTGAAACTGGATAGTGCTCTGCAGCTAATTATCACAGTACACACCTTTGAAAGCTCCATAATTTAGAGCCGTGCATTATAAAGTTAGATTACAGGTTCATCCATGAGCATAGTTTTCAGAGATTGGGTCACACCAGAGTCTGTGCCATGGCTCTGGACCTGAAAACCACTCTGTGGCTAACTAACACAGTACATCAAGGTCTGGAAACCACCACAAGTAGACGCCATAGAGCTCACATATCAGGCTTGCCCAACAAAGTTTAGTCCAGCGGTGTACAGGTATGGCCTCCAAATCTATTGCTGTGGAAACACCAATCTGGATAGTTTCTTTGAAGAGACAGCCTATTAAACATCTTGATTAAAGAGAAAAAAAGAGAAAAAAAAACAGTACTGGGCATGTTGACAGTAGAGAGGAAGACAGTCAAAATAAAAATAGAAATTTAGCGCTCAGCCTCTTAGGACACTAGCCAAAAACTGAGGCATGCCAGTTGGAGGCGAAGTTATACTACGCACATTTTGGGATTTTCCTTAATTTCCAGTGACATTGGTCACCAGGTCAAATATGGAGACTCTCGCTAGTGGGGTCACAGACAGCAATATAAATCTAACAAGGTTGCTAAACCTCCCCTACTCTATCTAAAGTTTCTTTTTTTTTATTTGCTTTAACTACACCTATATACACAGTCTGTGATTGTGCTCAAACTCACACTGCCTAAAACCGTGACCTATTTTTGTTCCTGTGAAAAGAGGTTCTGCAGCAGTAACAATTCACATTACCAAAACTGTTACATGTAGGTAATTTTTGCAAAGTGGGCCCTAATTATGACCTAGGCTCTGAAGTTGGTCACATGTGAGTGAAAAGCTTCCCCAGCTGCTTGAGAACCTGGTCATTACATAAATACATTTGGTTTTAAAAGGCTGCTGTTATTTTGTTCATGATAAAAAAGGCTGTAGTGCTTAATTTAGAATATTGCAGCATTAATGTGCTCTTTCTTTTATCCCCACAACAAATACACTTGGGGACCAATTTAGTAATGGAGCAATTTTGAAATGGTCTGCAAACCTGTATTTACCACAAACATCCAGTTAGGTTTGTAAGAGGCTTTTTTTTTATTTCTGTAAACTTTTTGGATATTTGAAATGATCACGTATTCCCAGAGCCAGTATAACAATAATGTATTTAGTAAGTCAGTTCAATAATTAAAATTCTTCTATACATTTTAAATTGTTGAATCCTAACACATACAGTAACTGAACTAGATGCATGGCGATCTAAACTAATATGGCAATAAATGGAAAGACCGTCATAAAATAAAGGTATGATGGAAAGGATAGGCCTCATTGGCATGTCTGGGCAGATTTGGGCAGGATCTGGAGTACACTGGAATCATTTTGTTATTTTGAAATGAGTGTTTGTTGTTGCATTTGATTAAGCATGCACATTACACACAAACTTGTGCTTAAGGTTTTGTAACGCTTCCTGCGAGCACGATGGCGAGTGTTGGATCTCAGCTGCGGAGGTAAGTGGAAATGGTTCAGTAGGGAGGTTCGCGGTAACACTTTGGGGTTGATTTACTAACCTAAACACACACACACACCAGGTGTGTGTGATTTTCACACAGCAAAACGTATTTATCAACCAAAAAGTCTAGTTTCCATTAGAGCTCACCACAGCCTTACTGAAACACATCGCACCAGATAGCCCCAGGTCTATTGTTGTTTCTTTATTTTTCTCTCTACAGTTTCCTTTCAGCTCTCATATGGTCATTTTTGTATCTTTGGAGTCCATCTTAGGGAGACTCTGGTCAAGGTGGGCTATCTGATCTTGATTTGTGAATTTTTACTTGGGTGAGGGACTTTGTTGCTGTTTCTTAGTTTGGACTTTCTTGATTAAGAACTACTTAATAGTTTGTTAAGAATAATACACTTGAACAGTCTAATCTTAGTGATGGCACTGCTATTCTTTTCCCTCCTGGTGTTTCTGAATGCTGCAAAGGCTTCACAGACCCGTTAAATTCATTTTTAAAATGTTTTTAAAGCTTCTCTACTTTTTAACATCTTGGAGCCTAGATGTGTGAAATCTTCTACATCTTCAGTCTATTTTTCATACAGTGTAATGGGTGTATATGTTGCATTACTTGCCCTAAAATATTTGCAAAAGGGTGAAGAGATGGAGAAGGCAGGAGAAGTGAGCAATCTAGTACAACATAGCTGATTTGGAAAAATGATCCAATTCAGCTCACTTTCTGGTTCAGCTATAATGCCCTAGATTGTTCACGTCTCCTGCCTTCTCCAAACTATTTACCCTTCTGTGAATAAGCCTGTTAGTCTATAATGTGTAGTCCAATCTGTTATGCTGCAACGGCCATGGCTTGTGTATTACTTTCATATTTTGAAAACAATGTGAGAATAATTCAACATTGTCCTGTAGACTACCTTGCCAGTAAACAGTTATTGTCATATTTATTACTTGACTCCATGCCCAGAATGAACCAAAAAAGGAAGTGCAAACATCCCTGCTTGACCACAGTGTCTAATGGCATCTATCTGGATGCTGTTAAATATTAATTGAAGAGAAATCCCACTACAGCATCTTCCAAATGTTCACTAGTTTCTGGAAAACACCATAGTGAAAAATGTTCTACAGCGATTATCTATGGATTACTTTTAAATTTGATCATGTGTATCTTTAAGTCTTATGAAATATTGTTGCTAAGCACTTTTCTTTTAGGAGAAAGTAGTAATGTCCTACCAGTTGTTCCAGTCTAAAAGATTACCTCTCTTGGGTAGTTCAGTTAACTAAGGGATAAAGGGTTAACCACTAAAAGGGTTAAGAGCACTTTTGCCCGGTGTCTTTTAAATTTGAAAGATTGTGAACACACATGAACAAGTTTATAGACATATTGGGGGTGATTTACTAAAGACAAATAGGCTGTTCACTCTCCAAGAGAATTTTCAGTTTGCAATCGAATTTTCCCTCAGCTTAGTGAGTATTCACTTTGCAAAGAATAGCCAATCATGTGCAAGGAAAGTAGAAATCTGTATATTTACATACACATGATTGGAACATGATTGGATGATGGAAGCCAGCAGAGCTTCACCCCCTTCACTAAGCTAAGACAAAATTAACTTGGAAAACTGGAAATCCCCTTGCAATGTACACAGCCTTTTCACCGTTAGTAAGTCAACTCCACTGTTTTGCAAAATGCAAAACACCTAGACTTAGTCTAAAAATGTTATTGATGTTTTTAAACCTGCCAAAGTTGGAGTGCCACTGGTCTAAATTTAGTGAGCAGCTAGGTGTAGCCAGCCTGAACTGTTATTGTTATTGTTGTATGTATTTCCTGGGTTTCCTCTATGCCTAGGGCATTGTTTACTTCTGCCTGCTCCTGGGGAGAATTCTCCTGTGAATGGAGCAAAAAGATGCAATGTTAGGGGTTATGAATATTTATTTCACTCTGGCCAATAACTAGGTGGTTTACTGCCAGTGAGGTAGGCTGGGAAAGAGATAAATATCAGGGAGCGCTTCTAGAAAGGTCTTTCAGGAGGTCCACTGGAAGGAGTATTTTTGCCCCCCATGTATTCTCAGGAGGGGAGTCCTCATCAGCTTCCAAATCAAATTCCTGCTAGGGCCTATAAGAGGAGAGGATGAGTGGAAAAGGGGGGCACCTTCACAGAGCTTGTTCAGTCAGTTGCTGTTCTGAGCCTAAAGTCACACTTTGAAGAATTGCTGTTCTCAGCTTAAAGGCACACCCTTGGCCCATGAGAGGGGTTGAAGTTATTTCTCTATTTGAGCAGAGGGATTTTTGTCACTGTTTGGGTATCCTGTAACCCCTGACCCTCTCTACCCAGTACATTAATACAATATAACCTGCAAGCAAGGATTGACAAAGTGGATATTAGTCACTTGGTTACCACTGGTGGGTCAATGAGTGATTTGAGGTATCTGTAGGGCAGCACACCAGTAGAAACACTAGGAAGAACCTTTGAACTCAGCGGCTCCTAAGGGGTTATCGCTTCATGTGGACACTCACAGGCAAGGTTATAGATATACTATTTTGCAAAATGCAAAACACATTTAGTCAAAAAACTTAATTATCTTCTTTTAAACCTGCGCTTATAATTTATAATTATAATAGGTTTACAGGTTTACATTTTTGTAGCTTTTAACAGGTTTAAATAAAAGTGATGTTATTTTAAATTAATTGACTATAATCTTAACAAACTCTCTAATCAGCAACCTTTTTCTTAGTAATTGTGATGTACTCTGCCTTCAACATGTCTGCTCCATTATGTCCAGTCCTGCTGATTTTTAACTATCCATTCCTTTAACTGCATCCTTAACCTCTTTTTTGGGTAGGGGCTCTATACTAACATTGAACTCTTTGATAGTTGATTGTATTTCTACTGTGACTGCTAAGGCTGCTCTATTCAAGATGGTCTGGAAATGATCTGGTAACCCTCTCAGCTGTGCTAGTTATAAAGTTTCCTTCTTTATCCTTCACAATACCATCACCGAAACCTCCTTTTAATGTCTTGATTATGCCGCAAACTGCAAACTCCAGAAAATATGAAGCAGAGAAGCAAATAAATATGGAACTCGCTTAAAAACTGCAGAAAAAGAAAGTGAAGGTCTTAATTATAGGTTAAATCTTTTTTTCTAATACAAGGTAGAAAAGCAGGAAATATAATTTAGGTTAATACGAGAAACACTGTTATTTTTGTTTCTTCTAGTGTTAACAAATAACCTTCAAACATAATTTCAAATGTGTATGTCTAGGCAAAACATTTTTTTTTATATAAAGAGTTAGAACCTCTTCCAAGTTTTTAATACTATCTGTTTTCCCAATGGGGAGGGTCGCGGCTCTATCAGTCTTGGTGACTATTGTCACTGGGAAAGAAACTGGACTTACAAGTAAGGGGACACCAGCACTAGGGACAAATGTCTGAAAGGGGAGTTTTTCTTGCTTTGGGAGATTTCCTTCAATTTCTCTGTTGCATCCCTGGGACAAGAAAAATTCCCCAATGTTCCACAGATAGCAGCAAACAAATTGCCAGGGATTTTAAACATTTCCTATTGTATCTAAAACTAAACATGTTTTGGTTATACATACACTTTAAAAACACGTTACTGTTCAGATGGCATTTCTCTTTTTTCCCATACATGACAGATTGGAATTTTTTGTGGATTCTCACTGAATTACATTCACTCACTGGAAAATACAATTTTTTTCTTTAACAAGCACAACAATGATAATATACAAGGCACATTTTTCCTTCTTAAAGTACATTTAGACACAAAGTCTGCCAACGGGGATGACTCTATTCTGCAGACAAGACTTGATTGCAGTATACAATTACCTGCTGTATTTGAAGTTACTGGTCTGGCCTTTGCTTCTGATTTGGTTTCACACAGAAAGTCATCTATAGATGGGCTGAGAAGTGGCCTGCTTTCTTGTTGTTCATTCACCAACTGAAAATTGAAACGAAAAAAAAAAATTATAAAAAAACCCATCAGAGTAATCAGTAAAAAAAAGAAACCACATGATGATCAGACTTTGCTAGAGAAAAAGCTGGTCATGCTTTCTGCATATACTAAGTGCTTGAGACTTTGGTATTGTTTAACTAAAACAGCCAATGTGTATAGTTAATAATCTAATTATATTTGTATATTTGATTGTCTGAGTTCTCCGGTCGTGCCTGTGCATTGTTATATATGATAATTCACTCAGCTACCCTAGTGGGTTTATAATAAATCTATTCTTTTGTGTGTAGTTCCTAATCCACCATTGTGCTGTGAATAATAGACATATAATATAATGAATACTATAAAAAAGAACAACTCCAGTTTCAACAAAAATATGTTTAATATGTGTCAAAGATAGCTTCATATATGATCTTTAGTTTTCAAAACAATGATTTCAATACAAGTATTTCTCAATGTTGACTGTTGTTTTTGGGAACTAACACTTTTACTGCGAGGTAATACCAATAGATGAGATCATATAGGTACAGTTTTCAGGGCCATGATAACTATATTAAGGGGTTAAAGGTCAAGTTATAGTTAGGCTTATTGGGGTTAAGGGTTACATTTAAGGGTTGGAACAGTTGGTAAATGTTAGGATTAGTTTAATTGTTTTCAGTGTTAGGTTAGCGGATAAGGGTACTGTTTATATTTAAGGACTAGGTGTTAAGGTAGGCAAAGTGCCGATGATTAATTTTAAGGCTTAGTTTAGAGGGTAAGTTTAAGTGTGGGGGGGAAGATCAAGAGTTATTATATAGGATAGATTACAGGAAAAGGTTAGGGGGCTATAGAATCTAAGGAAGTTCACTATGAATGTTGGAGATAGGTGATGTTTACAAACAAACCTTACAGCTTGCAGAGGTCACACCCGACTGAAGATGGAAATGTACCTCTGGTTAATCTTGTAATGACAATTATAGTACTGAAAAAATATTTTAAATACATTTCTATTGTTTTATCAAGTTGTCAGTTTATTTAAAAAAACACAGCAGAATATTTATTAAAATTGTGTGCAAAATAAGTCTTAAATGTTGTTTAAAATATAAAAAGGATATAGGCAGGCAAATAAGTCATATCGTTTTTGTCAAGTTAACCAATGCATCCTTACAGTAACAAATTATTGTGTGAAGGAAAAATAGTGCTGTTGTCCAAAGCAACTGCACTAGCTTTAGTTTCCTTGCATGCATAATAGGAATGGTTCTTGGAATATTATAGCATGTGCACTTTGATGTGCACTTTTCCATCAAATAAATTAGTTCCACTGTGTCACTGTTTACTACCAGATATTAATTGTTTACTGCCTACATTAGTATGGCCATAATATTTCAGAAGTTAACCTACAATCATTATTATAGTAAGTGCTGCTCAGGCATAGCGTTTGATACAAAGTTAAACAACATCATAATGATTATCAAGTTTAAAGTATCAATTTTACTACAATAACAGTTTTACAAGCAATATCATTATGAGCTTCATTTGTCTTCAGACAATCAGATTGGGTTAACATTAAATGATTTTGTTTTAAGAACGCTTCACTAAGTTCCTACAAACGTTTGAAATGTTTAATTACATAGTTACATAGTATTTGGGGTTGAATAAAGACATACGTCCATCAAGTCCAACCCATATAGGTCCACGCATCATCTCATTCTTAGGAATACTTGTATCCCTGAATATTACGGTCCCTCAGGAAATGGTCCAAAAGTTTCTTGAACAATTCTACACTCTTAGCTGAAATCATTGCCGGAGGCAGTGAGTTCCAGACCCTGACCGCTCTTACTGTGAAGAACCCCCTTCACCCCTTGTGCTTGAATTTTTTCCCCATAAACTTTAGGTGGTGGCCTCTAGTCTTTGTAATGGAGTTAATCTTAAAGAGTTTGTTGCCAATGTTGCTGTCACCATTGAACATCTTGTACATGAAAATCATATCCCCCCTTAACCTCCTTACTTCCAGCGTGAACATGTTTAAGTTCACTTCAGTAGCCTTGTCTCATAGCTCTGGTCCTCCATTCCCCTAATTAGTTTGGTTGCCCTCTCTCCAGTTCAAGGACATCCCTTCTCAGTCCGGGCGACCAAAACTGGACCGCACACTCTAGATGTGGCCGAACTAACGATCTATATAGTGGCCCAATTATAGACTTGTCTCTGCAATACATCCCCTTCTTAATACAGGACAAGACCCTGCTAGCTTTGTTTACCGCAGCCTGGCACTGCAAGCTACCATTCAGTTTGTGGTCTACAATGACCCCCAAATCTTTTTCTATTTCTGACTTCCCTAGCGGCATGTCCATGATGGTATAGCCCATTTGTTTATTTTTATTTCCAGAGTGCATTACTTTGCATTTATCGACATTAAACCTCATCTGCCATATTATTGCCCACTCCCCTATTTTATCCAGGTCCTCCTGTAATGTTATATAGTCACGATCCGTTTCTAATACCCTCCCTATTTTTGTATCGTCTGCAAACACGGAAACATGGCTATTTATTCCCTCCCCGATATCACTAATAAATAGGTTCAACAGTATGGGACCCAGCACAGATCCTTGAGGCACCTTGTGGTACCGTATCAAATGCCTTTGAGAAATCCAGATATACCACATCTACCGGCTTCCCTCCATCCATATCTCTACTTACCCCCTCATAAAAAGTTAGCAAGTTAGTCAGGCAGGAACGGTGAACCCATGCTGATTGTCATTAACTATGCCGTTATACTTAACAAATGTTACTAAATAGTCCTTAATCATACCTTCTAACAGTTTACAAACTACCGATGTTAGACTGACCGGCCTATAGTTCCCAGGTTGGCATCTAGCCCCCTTTTTGAATATTGGAACTACCGTAGCCCTCAGCCAATCACATGGTACTCTACCAGTCACTAAGGATTCCTTAAAAATTAGGAATAATGGTCTTGTTATAACCTGGCTTAGTTCCCTAAGTACCTTGGGGTGCAGGTTATCTGGTCCCACTGCTTTATTTGCATTGAGCATTTTAATTCTTTGTTGTATCCCGCTTTCCGTCAACCACTGTGGTATATAATCGGTTGAACTTTGTGTTTTATCACGTACGTCAAACCCGTTTCCTTCCTGAGTGTATACTGAGGAGAAAAAAGTGTTCAGCGCCTCGGCCCTCTCCTTGTAATTTGTGAGTAACTTCCCATTTTCGTCCTTTATTGGGCCTATCTGCTCCTTTCTTACCTTTTTACTGTTAATAGATTGGCAGAACTTTTTTTTTTTTTTTACTAACTGTGGCGATATGCTTTTCGCATTCTATTTTAGCTTCCCGGATTACTAGTTTGCATTTTTTGTTACATTCCTTGTAGTTAAGGAACGCCAATGCCGTCCCTTCTTATCTTATATTTTATAAATGCCATTCTCTTTGCCTTAACATGTAGTTTTACAGTTTTATTTAGTCATATAGGTTTAGTCTTTGATCTTTTGTTTTTGTTACCCAAAGGTATACACTTTGAAATAGCAATATGTAATGTGTTCCTGAAACAGTCCCACAGTTTAGGTTGTGAAATGAGTTTTCCCATTTTATTTCCCCCACTAGTTTGCGCAGTTTATCAAAGTTGGCCCTTCTGAAATTTAGGGTTCTTGTCCGTCCCGCCCTCTTTCCTTTCCTGTATTCAATATTGAAAGTAATCACATTGTGATCACTATTACTCAGTGTCTCCCCAATTGCAATATCCTCAATTAACTCCCCATTATTAGTAATTATTAAATCTAGGATGGCATTTTTCCTAGCTGGAACCTCCACCATCTGTTCCAAGAAATTGTCTCGCAACAAGTTCAGAAATCGGCCCGCCTTTGTCGATCCTGAGGTACCATTAGCCCAATTGATGTCCAGGTAATTGAAGTCGCCCATCACGACTACATTGCCCTCCCTCCCAGCTATTTCTATTTGGGAGAGTAGATTTGCTTCCCCCTCCTCCCCTATATTCAGAGGTTTATAGCAAGTACCCACAATAAGTTTACGGCTAGTGTCCACCATATCGAGCTCCAGCCATAAGGTCTCCACGTCTTCTCCACTGTTTGACGTGATATCGTCCCTTATATGCATATTTAGATAGTTTTTAACTTAAATGCAACCCCACCCCCTTCTCCCACATCTGTCCCTCCTGAACAGGTTATACCCCTCTATATTAGTAGCCCAATCATGTGTGCCGTCTAGCCAGGTTTCCGATATACTCACTATATCGAAGTCCTCTTCGAGTATCATAATTTCAACTCTAATAGTTAACCTTTTGCATTGTATTCAAATTGTTTGGCATAAACTAACAAAAATATAAGAAAAAAAAAATCTCTTTAATTAGCATATTACTTGGGGTTATCTTAATGCGGACAGCTTCGCATGTTAAACTCCTATTTTATAACAGAAAATCTACTATTTCAGTCCTAAAGCAGAACTATGGCATCCCGTTACAAATATGCACTGCAGTACTTAATTATAAGTGCATTTGCACTTACTGTTTTCTCCTAGACCCCCTGCAAAGTCTCACAAATACCTGTAGATCCTGCCAGTGAAGTCCACTTCTACTGATTTCAAGTTAGAGTTTAGACATGTGCGATTCATTTTGCTTCAAATCAAAATTCTGAAGAATTTTCCGAAATTCGGACATTCAGACACATCTGAATTTCCGAATCCCAATGCGTCCGAATGTGTCCGAATCCGGATTTCCGTTTCCAAATTTTCCGAACCCGTACGAATTTTGTTCAAAAACTAAACTGAATCGGACATGTGACTTTTCTGACCAATCAGAGTTGTTTTTCGGTTTAATGCATCCGAATAGGTCTGAATACGATTTTTCGTTATGGCAACATGGGAGCCATATACAGTACATACATATAATATTAAAGCTGAGGCTCCCAGACCTGAATAGCATTCGGGATCCGAATTTCTGAATTGTATTCGGGGAGCTCCCAAATGCCATTGGGGTCTGGTAGCCT